CAAAAAAAAAAAAAAAAAAAAAAAAAAAAAAATCAGTCTAAATTGCAGGGCCTGGCCACAAACTTGTAATCAATCCTCCTGACACCATGCCAGGCCCAGTTCCATTCTTAAGGAGGAGAAATAAGATGTCTAAAACCTGTATTTCCTTAATTTTTTAAAAATTAATTTAAAGCCGGGTGTGAGGGCACACATTTGTAATCCTAGCACTCTGGGAGGCTTAAGGTAGGAGGATTCCAAATTAAAGCCCAATCTGGGCAATGGAGCAATTTAAAGCCTTGTCGCGTGCTCACCCTCTCCACCCACCTCAACCCCTACAGACTCGAGATGTACCTCAGTTCTAAAGCCATGGGATTCAACCCTCAAGGGGGAAAAGTTGCTCACAGATCTTAGAGCAGGGTAGAGAAATATATACTAGTCAATGCCTTCGTTTTATACATTAGGAAGCAAGTAGTGAGTTAAATTCTCCTAGGCTTCACGTTATCTGGATTACCCCCCACGCCCTCACTGTCGCTCACAAATCATTTTCTCCATAAGGACTTTCCAGACTACTTTAAAATCTCAATCCCTCCCACCTTCGAAAACTTCCTAAGCACAGTAGCAAGAGTTTTCCAAGTAAAGAGCATTAAAGCAAAAAGTGATAGCCTAACGCCTTGAGACTTCAAGATTAATCCGCCCCATTCAGAAGACACTCACACGTTCCCATTTACACAATAAGGCGACAGCAAACTTCAAGCCTCAGGCCTATATTATAGAAATGGGGTAAGAGTTTAAACGCAAAGATCCTCTCTATTTACTACCAGCTCTTGGTTACCCACTTCCCAATCTCACCGGTGACGGACTTGATACTTGCCAGTAGCTTGCGGTCTCGCGGTAAACTGAGCTACAGGAAGAACCAGCGATTCTCAGAAAAGCACTTCCGGCAGGTCGAGTTTGCCCCCTACTTCCTGAGAAGCAAAAAACTGAGTCCGAGTGGGTGCTTGACTTGAGCTAAATGGTTCCTACGCTCGGCTTCCCGTCTCGGAGACAGTCTTTAAAATCTTTATTTTTGTTGAAGTCAGCTGTTGAGCAAGGTACTTGAATACTCTCTTTACCAAGGTTCCCATCCAGCCGAATCTGCCTGCAGAGTTCTGAAACAATCTCAGAGTGAAGGTGGTGAAGGAAGGGAGATTTGGAATCTAGGTCAAGTGTGACTTGGCCAAATTGCCATCTCCCTAAGTCCTTGGGTTTTTGTTTCGTTTTGTTTTTTAACCTTTCAAAACAGTCGGGGTTTGGATCGACGAGACGAGAGTTATTCCTCATTAAGGTCCTTTTCTACTACTGGGGCGGGGTGCTGTTTTTTTTATTTCCGTTCTTTTTTCTAGGGCCTTAGAAACTTCGTTAAGGAATAAAGAAGCAAGGGACAGGATTTTCACTTCTTTGAATGCTATGCTGTTAAGAACCGTGAGGGGAGGGTATCAAAAAAGACAGCATTCTTATCACCCTCGGCTGTTGTGACCTCTCCTTCTCTGAGACTCGGTATCAATCTACCATAAGAAACGACATCAGGCAATTTGAGCGTCCTTCCGTCTCGAAGATAAAGCTGAAGACAAACTGAAGAACTTATTTGTCTATAGGCCCTACCAGTTCCTCCACTCCTGGATTCTCCGTAGCCTAGCTTCCTGGTTGCCACCCCTCACATGGTTTAGCTTCCTGAGGATTGGGCCTCATCAAAATTTTAGGAGTGGTAACCGCTGGGTTCCCGCCTAGGCTTTCACTTTCATTTCCTTTTCCGGCCTGGCAGCACCGCCCCTTCCCATCGCGTGATACCCAATAAGACTTTGGGTAGGAAAAACGGCTTTTCTGCAGTAGTAAAAGCACAGATTCAGTCCGAAACCGGGTCTGTGCTTGAGCCGGGGAGGTGCGACGCTCTTGGTGCCCAGGAACTACCATTCCCGGCGGGTAGCGCGCCAGCTGCGGCCGCGCAGGCTTCTGGAGCAGGGCCCTGGGGCCCGCTGGGGGCTGGAGTCTCAGCAACGCGCACAAGCGAAGGAAGGAGCAGAAGGTGGGCAGGGCTCGGGAATCACACGCTCCTTCGAAACTGATTTGGTAGTACGGATAGAGGTAGTTTAGCGACGCGTTCTTGGCCAGAGGCTGGACGTGGGGGGTTGAATGAACGGTCTGCGAAGAACCGATACTTGCATACGTACCCTGCCACCCATTCACACGCGCCCAGGCCTGTGTATTCGGCGGGAGGAGAGAGACTAAGGGGAGAGTACTAAACACGGTTTGTTTCTGTCAGGCTGCGCGGGGAGAAGATAAGGACTTAATTGCACAGCGGGAGCGTGACCAGGCACACTGCGTCTAGGTGCGCTGGAGGGTTTGGGGGACGAGACGGAAAAACCGCCGTTTGCCAGCGAGAGCGTAGACAGTTTGAAGCCGGACGGTCCCCGGCAGGGTCACTGAAGCCAGCCTTCGGCGCATGCGCGTCCGCTCCGGCGGGTGGGCGTGTACTAGGCGGGATTGGGGACGGACTGGTTTTCGCTCCTCCTGCTCTGCCCCTTCTGGGCCTTGTGGGCCGGGCAGCCATTTTAGGAAGAGCTTTGTTATGGTTGTGAGGTAGTCACCTCTACCTGGCCGAGAAACTGGGAACGGGTCCCTAGACGCCACTTCTCATCCTTGATTGTAGCCCTGCCGCTGCCTGGTGAGTTACACCCTCGGACAACGGAGTAGCAGGGGACCTTGGAGTCGTCCGGCTCGGGACTCCACCCGTTGCCTAACCAACTATATTTTAAAACTAGTTGGAAGAACGTCTCTCACAGGTGGTCGGGTATCGGTAGTTCGCCCGGGGAGGAGCGAGCCGAGCCCACTTGGGACTCCCCCCCCCCATACACGCGCGTGGAGTTTCGCCTGTAAGCGTGGCCGCGGCTCCGCGAGAGCGCTCCGACTTCAACTTTGGTCTTCGGGTCGGAACCCTCACTTGCGGCTTTCTGGCTCCTCTCCAGGCGTTAGGGCTTGGTAGTGATTGAATTGCTTGGTTTACGAGTTTCCTTTTCTTGCTTTCAAATGAAAGCCAAAGGCTTTTGTTTGCCTATTGAGGAAAACCTAAGGAGGAAAAAGTCGTGTAAGTCAAATGTAGGGTATCTGAAGGGGAAAGAGGCTCAAGCTTTCATCCCCCGAAGTCCCAGTTCTCCGCTGTAGCAGTGTTTTCTTTTAGATTATCTGTCGAGTATTAAATACCCTCCCCCACAGAGAGGGTAGGAAACTGATTAATCTTGAAGTGTTTTCACCTGTTCTCCCCGGTTCTCCCCCATTTTTAACTCCCTCTCCCCCGTGACATTCAAAAGAAAGACTGAATCTAAAATGGCTGTAGCTTGGGGAAGTACCCTGCTCTCCGATAACTTAAATGTGTCGTAACATTTTAGTCGCTTTCCCGTACGAGACTTTAACTGGATCTTTAGATTTTGTTGTTGTTTTGCTATTGGTAGTTTATCTTGACGACTTACTGTAGGTGAAAACAAAGGTGGGGCTTACAAAGTTTGCTAACTTCAAAATTTTTACATAAGAATGGGTGCGGTTTTGTTGTTTTGTTTTTTGGTTGTTGCTTATAATACTGAAAAATTCTGCTGTGCTTTATGTGTCAGCTTTGCTCCGGGGTTGGCTTGTCATATTTATTAAAACATTTGCTTTTTATATATATTGCTTACCAGGAAAACACGGAGTTAGTGGTGGTTCATCTTTTAGTAACAAGTTACGTTCCTCTGTAAATCCAACCCAAAAAGTACAGTGACTGATACATTTCAATAGATTTAAATTTGTAATTTGAGGGCTGATCTGAAGTATTTTATATTGGTACTTGAAATCGAGTGCTGTTAAGTTTGGGAAATTTACCGTAACAATTCAGCAAGAGAAAACCTAGTTTAGGTGTGAAGTAAGAGTGTTGTGCCTTTTAAACAAAAGGATGTCTTTTCGGGGCTGGTGATTTAGCTCAGTGGTTCCACCGCCTTTCTCGAAAGTACCAGGACCCGAGTTCAATCCCTGGTACCAAAAAAAAAAAAAAATAAAAAAAAAAAAAAAAAAAAAAGTCTTTTTCTTTGCTTTAAAAAAAAATCCAGATGTTTAATTGAAGACAGAACGCACCGGCATGGCATATCGTAAATTGAAAACCCAAACCAGTAAATTTCAATGTTTGGAAAGGTGTTTGAGTTTCAGGTTATCTCTTTGAAAGCTAAAATAATAAAATATAGTAAAATGCTAATTAAGAGTGATAACTTTGAATTTAATAGTAAAACAAGCTTTCTTAGGGATCAATTTTAATAATTCCTTCAAACAAAAGTTCTCCTAGGATTTTTTTTCTTTATGTCTTCACAAGAAAATCATGTTAAGTTCTTTTAAAAAATTACAAGTTATAAGTTTTGTGTATTATACAAATTAATTGCTTATTATTTGGGGGCAAGACCTTATTTTTAATTCCTTATTATTTACTAGGGTACCCAAAACAGTTTTTACATGTTGTAGTAAACTCTTTCAATTGAATCTGGATAGTGTCCTTTCAGAGCTCTTGAAATTTTGGGCAAAGTAGGAAACTTTTTTTGGTACTGGGTATCTAACTGGGATCACACTTGCGAAGCAGGCGGCAGAACCACAGAGCTACATCCCCGGCCCAGAAGCTTTTATTTTGAATGATTTTTCTTTTTTTGTTTGTTTGTTTGTGTTTTTTGGTACCAGGGATGGAGGGACCTTGTGATTGTAAGGCAGGAGGCAAAATCATTGAGCTAAATCCCCAACCCTTTTTTTTAATGATTTTAACTTAACAGTTTTTTCATCCTTGGCTGTTAAAATTTTAGTAAGTTTGGAGTTGTAAGAAGTCTGGGAATACATTTCTGCATATATGTACATATACATGAAGTGTGATTAAAAATACACAGTTAATGTTTAAATTTTAAAAATTATTACAGTAAAAGACATATTGCCATTACTCCAAAAAACTCCTGTTTTCTTCCAGCACACTTATTCTATCATTTTAGTTACTTTCTAGGAGTCCTCTTTCTGGTCTTTAGGTGGTATGAGCAAAAATACAGTGAATGGTTCAGAATGTTATCCATTGAAAAGGCAGACTCATTACAGTGTTTCTTCATCTACTGTATCCACCTATTCACTCTGTGACTTCTGGCTCTTCCTCAAAGTCAAAATGACCACTAAGGTAAACATTTTTAATCAATTCAGGGAAGAGAGGCAGCCACAACACCAAGACTGTAGCCCAACTAAGATGCTCACAAAAGAGGACTTCTAGAATTGCTTCAGAAAGTGGTAAGAATGATGAGATGAGTGTGTTCAAAGCAAAGGGGGAGTATTTTGAGGAAGATTAATGGTAAAGTGTCTTTTAGTGTAATAGTGCAATGATTTTTTTAAAATTTAAACATTGTTACATTTTTCTGATCACACCCTGGATGTATATGGTTCAATAAGAGGAACTAAACTTATTTTGTCCATAGGAGGGATGTATTTAAGGGGGGCCCATTAGTTTTGCTTTACTAAGGCAAATAATTAGCCTTTTAGTTGATCTATTGGGCAAATTATTTTTTTACTTTTTAGTAAGATGGCTCAATCATTTTAAGAAGCATTAGAAACTACATAATGTGCCACTATTGCTGTAGTAGGACCTAGGAATATCTGGATGATCATAAAACATTCTCAAAGATTTTTCATTGTTTAAGAGAGTAAGCATATAAACACTGCAAGGATAATAATGCAGATTTCTTTTTTATTTTATTTGTGCATTTATTTTTTGGTACTGGAGATCAAACTCATGACCTTGTGCTTGCAAAGTAGGCATGACACCACTAAGCTAAGCCCTTTTTTTTTTTTTTTTTTTTTTTTAATATTTTTGGTACCAGGTAATCAAGTTCAGAGCCTCAGGCTTGCTAGGCAGGTGCTGCACCCCACATTCCTGGCCCTGTATCTTTCTTTTTTTAATTTGCAGTGGTGAGGCTCTAACTAAGCCTTGCACATTGCTAGGCACGACTCTACCACTGAACTGCATACACGGCCCAGCTATCATTCTTGAGTTGTTTTTAACAGTAATCATTAAGTTTACCCCCCATTTCTGTGGTAAAACTACTTGACCTTGTGTCACCCAGTCTTCAGTTTCGACCATTGGTGACAAATCTGTGGCACACTTGCTGCAGTGGGCTGTTAGTATCATTGACAGTTCTAAAAAGTTTGCCATCCTTGGTCTAGATAATCACCTGCATAAAGAAAGTTGAATAGTTGGTTCGAGTGGAATAATAATTGTTTTTTCTAGAAAACCTCATTGATTTAAGATTGAATATACTTTATTTGGAGGTTGTTTTGTTTTGTTTTGGTTTTTGGTTTTTTGAGACAGGGTCTCACTATTGTAGTTGAGACTGACCTGGAACTCACTATGTAGCCCAGGCTGGTCTGGAACTCATAGTGAGCCTCCTGCCTCAGCCTCCCAGTGCTGGGATTACAGGCGCGCGCCACCACACCCAGCTTGAATATACTTTAAATTGAGTTTCCAGACACTTGTTTGTGCTTATTATAAGTTTAAATTTCAGTATATAAAAAAACTGTCTTGCAAATAATTGCTGTCTTTGAAGTTAAGTATGCAGAAAATTTTGCTTAGAGGCTCTTTGGCTAGTTAATTAAAAGTTAGAGTTGGGATAGGGAGTGTCTCTCTGTGGTAGAGCTCTTGTCTAGTATGTGTGAGATCTTGGATTCAATTCCTTCTGCCCAA